GCTGACAGCGCCTGGCCGCCCAAGTGCAGAGCTTCCATAGAACATAGGACATGAGGACCTTTCTCCATCCTAAGGCCTCTAGTAAACCACCAGAGTGACTGGGAAGGTGACAAAGAGTAGGCCCCACCCGGGTGCAAGGAAAGAGGATGGGTACCAGCCCTGGTCAGCAGCAGTCAGAGGCATCCCCCTACCCATTAACTGTGCAGGTGTCCCCACCCATTGATGGCAGTCACAGTCAACGCTGGCCCTGGGCAGCTGGCAGAGAGGGCCACGTGAGACTGGGTAAGGACACATGGTGAGAGCCAACCCACAACTGCCACTCCCACAGCGACCCTGAGGTTGAACCCCTGAGCAAAGCACAGACCTACTAACTGGGGAGAAGGGTGTACCAGGCCTTGGCCTCCCTGTCAGCCTGTCTCCCTGAGCTGGGGAGGAAGACTGGACCTTCCTGCTCAGCAGCCGGGTCACAGACCAGCCCTTTCCTGTAAGGTCGTCTGCCCTGGACAGCTTGGCTGGTGCTGCCAGTGGCCAGGGAACAGGGTCCAGGCCTCAGGGACAGGGTCCAGGGCTCAGGGCCTAGACCTTTGGAAGCTTCAGTCCAAAACAAGGTGGCAACAAGAACACAGCTCCCAGCAGCACCCACCTGCTGCCCCTGACCAGAACAGCACTAGCCTTCATTTTGACCTGGAACCTAAAGTCTGCTTGGTCAGTCCCACAAGCCAGGCTCATCTCCCCAACAAAGTACACACGCTGGAGGCAAGACCCTCCTAGACAGTAGGCTCAGACAAGACACTCTCATTCCAGACCAGAACTCCACAGACCACCCAGTTAAATCCTTCAACAAACATAGACCACACACTACTGCCCCAGGACTGGGTGCCAAGTGAGTCAATGAAGAGCCATGTGCCTCTGGAGCCAAAGATCCTATAGGACATGACCTGGAGCCAAGGGCTGCAGAGGCTGAACAGCTCAGAAGGCAGCATGACAGAGAAACTGCCCTGTGCTGCCCTGGCCACTTTGCAAAGGAAACTGCCCCAGAAGTTGCAGCCCTGCTAAAAACGATGGCAAGGGCAAGGGACATGGAACAAGACAGGCAGGAGGGGAGGGAAGTACAGACAGGTCTGTTCAGTGACAGCAGACCTAGTCATCTTGTGGGAACACGGAACTCATCTAAAAACAAAGCTGCACACATATACACATATATGCACATGCACACACATGTACACATATACAGAGATGGGCACAGTGCTGCAACTTTCCTCCTCAGGTGCCAGGTCTGCTGCCCACCAGGCAGGTGGCTCCCCTGCCAACGAAGTGCCTGTCAGAGACTCAGCTTTACCATCTCCAAATGGGGTGGGTGGGGGGCGGCACTGAGCTCTGCCCATTCCAGGATACGAGTGGATGTGGCAGAGAGGAGCAGCCAGGCCTGGGCAGTCAAGCCCTAATCAGAAAAGCCAGCGGCGGGCTCCTTGCCACCTGCACCGGATGCCCACTGCCTGGCGCCAGCCCTGACCAATCACATCAGAGGCGGCAAACACAACTGGCTCCTGCTCCAGGAACCCTGTGGCACGTACTCCCTTACAGCACAGCCACAGCATGGCCAGGCCAGCTTCCCTGCCACAGCTACAGGGCGAGGAGGACGACATGAGGCCGCTAGGGACCAGTCAAGGCCCAGGAGCCTCAGCACCTTCGGGCTGTGCCAGAGGCCGTCACAGGGAGACACTCCTCCTCAGGCTGCTCCCCCTCCTTTGCAGGGCCTCAGGACAGGCTGGATCGTCCTATTCCCAGAGAAGGTGCTGGAGCCACCATCCTCAAGGGTCATCGGTCACTGGGAACCAGGGCTTTCCTTGGGATACAAGCCCATGAGAATAACACCAACCTGACAGCCTCCCTGGCACCTCCCAGAGCCTCAGCCAGCACACTGCCCTTTCAGCACGCAGGGGACGTGGGGGCTCCAAGAGGGCTGCAGATTCAGGCAGCCTTAACTCTGAATGCACACTCAGTCATCTGGGGAGCAGCAGGCTCCCCCTGGCCCAGCACCCTGGCCCTGGATCATCACCCAGAGCTGCCTGGGGTGAGCACCAGGCGGAGACTCCAGGCTCTGCTGCCTGCACTGTCTTGAGGAAGGGGCCCTCCTTGCCTCATTCACTCTCCCACCCCCTGCAGCGCCCAGCCCAGCCCAGCCCTCCCCTCCTCTCCTCAGGGCCCAAGAATGTGTTCTCAGCAGACACCAGGAAGCCATCCGGCTCCTCTCCCCTTCATTTTCCATGAAATTCCCCGAGGACACAGCTCCCAAGGGAACTGAGCCACTAGGCAAGAGGTCAAAGTCTGCGTTACGGATTCTTCCAAGGAGGAAAACCAAAACTGTACGTTTTATTCTCGCATTTTCAATCAGCAAGGCCAAGGACAAGCGTCCTTCTTTGCCAAGGCAAACACTACTCAGAACTGCAGTCGAGGCGATACAAGGGCCAAACCAAACAGCTGAGCTGCATCGCGGGGTGACACTGAGCAGCCACATCCCAGCCATTCTAAGAGGCGCTGCCAGGGTTTCCACAAGCCAACCCGGGCACCGGGGCAGCCCCTCAAAGGGTTGCCAGAGGCAGCACGGTCCCAGGAGAGGACAGAGCACGGTGGTGCTGGGACCGGCTGGACCGGCCCAGATCTGCACGCAGGTGGCTTCAGTTGTCTCCTGACTGCCTCCACGTGGGCTGGGTTTTTGTCTGGCTGACGTGCCAAAGCTGCCTGACCTGTACCAGCCCTGCTGTGGCACCTTGAGCTCCCCAGTGACAAAGCACAGAAAGGTAACAGAGCACCAGGGCTTGAAGACTCGGCAGTCAGGGCCCTTGAGTGGCAGTAAGAGCCACCTACTTACAAAACCAAACCCACCTGCCATCACCAGGGCAGCAGCAGCGCACACCTATCACCAGGGCAGGAATTTCCAGGGTGGAACAGACCTTCAGACACCCACAGCCTGGTGTCCAGCCCTGCTAAATGGTACCATTTCATGCCACACCTTCACACAGGAAACTCACCACCCAACTGACCCACTGAATACAAAACACGAAACCTCCATGTTTAACGTGCACCCCACACCTACTGGTCTATGTCCAGAGGGGCTGAAAGTCCCCAAATACTCTGACCCTAACAGTTTTCCTGCCACTCTCTGGCTGACAGATTTCACTTCAGACCTGCAGATAAATCATAGCTCCATCTAGGCAAAGTCACTGAGCTGTAACTGCAGCCCGACTGCCCCGGTTAGGAGAGTTTTATTAAGGACAATCATGGGATTCCCCAGAGGAAAGCCATTCCATGTACCCTGCATAATTCTCATCATGAAAGTTACTATTTAATGGTGTCAATGCAGAAGCAGGGAAAATAGGAAAAAAAGACTCTGACCTGCACTTCTCTTCCATCCCCTGCAGTAATGAGCAAACTGTAATGGAACTAATGACTAATAATTTAATAAACCTCCCTCCCCTGACAGCATTCACTTCCACAGAGCAACAAGACCAAAAACGTGTACCATAGACTCTGTGAAACCAAGCATAAAAACCCTAAGGGCCGCTCCTTTCCCCAAGGATCATCCCGCAGTTCTGTGAATCCTGTTCACCAGCAGCTCTAACATGGCTTCAGGACTGATTCGGTCGATCCCATCCATCTTCAGAATTCTCCCAGACCCACGCAGCTGCAACTTTACCACCTTTATTAAAAGCCGTATTAAAGTACAATCTGCCCCCATGGACTCCTGCTGGAACCAAAGGGGCCACCCCAGAAGCCTCCATCTGGCTGTCCTGAACCTGAGCAAGTTAAGAGGGTTCACAGGCCACTGGCTAAGGAGGCTCAGCCTTAGTTATTTAATACAATTAGAAACTGTTGCTCTGTCGAGCGGCTGCAATCCCATTTAGGGCATGAACCAGCAACTGCCATGTAAATACCAACTACTCTAATCACCTGGCCTATCACCTAACCTTCAGACACAGTTTTGAAATAAAGCACATCTTTGTAAGAGGACCACCCAAGACACGCGTTTCTCTCCTGGGAAAATACCCCCCAGGAGCTGCTGCGGGCCTCCTGCCATGCGGAGCCAGCGCTGTGTTGTTGGGGGGGGGTCTGAACTGAGAGAATGGATGCTAAAAAAACTAGGCAACCAGGGGCTTGTTAATCTATGTACAAACCACAGAAATACCGGGAGGAGGGGGGCCGTAGAGGAGGCTTCCAGCCGAGCTCTGCGGTTCTTAGATGGGAAACTGTCATTTCACAGATGAGAATGTGAATGCGACTCTTAACACATATCAGAGGCAAAAGGCAGGCGCGTCAGCCTCCTACACAATTAGTCTTCTCCCTCCGCGGTTACATAAGATGATGGATTATCTGTCCACCCATCCAACCTGCCCGCGCTCCGACCTCCCACTTTAGGCCACAGCCATAAAGCCCAGGTAGGAGTTGTGGAAAGGGAAAGCCTGTTGAGAAAGAAGTGCCCAAAGGCTCGCGTAACCGCGCCTGGAAGAGCCCCCGCGGTGCCTCCGCGCCAACCGAAGCGCACGGCCACGAGCCGCGGCCTGCAAGCAGCCCCCACGCAGCCCCCCGCAACCCCCTGCAGCCCCTGGGGACCGCCGCCCCCGCTCGACTCCGGTAGACAGCGGCACGGACCGGGTCCGAGGGCTCTGCGGGCTGGGCGCGCGGTTCTGTTCCCCCGGACGCCAAGGCGGGAGTACGGAGGGGAGCGCGGGGGCCGAACAGGGCAGTCGGAGCGTGGGGAGGCGCGGGCCACGGAGGGCGGATGGGGACGGGGCGGAGGCGGCCACCTGTGACCGGCCGGCGCCGGGCTCCCAACGCCCGCACCCCGAGGCCCCGGAGGCCGCGCCAGGAAGACCCCCAAGAGCCGTGGCCTCCCAGCTCCGCGCTCGGCCCCGGGGCCGCCCTAGTCTGGCGCGAGCTCGCGGGCGGCGCGGGAACCCGGGCGCACCCAGACGGGCTCAGCTCGGCGCTGGGGTACCCACCTTGTAGACATTTTCCGTGAGCCGGTGCATCTCCTCCGAGCGCGAGAGCGACATGGTCCTGGGTCCCGGCTACACCACAGACCTGAGCGGGGGCGCGAACGTCGGCGGCAACAGCAGCAGCAACAGGGAAGTAGAAAGGCGCGCGGACCCGAACCACAGAGCGTAGCGTCCGGCGGCTGTCGCCTTTATAGTCGCAGCAGACCCCGCCCCTCTCCAGGCTCCGCCCCCTCGCTCCG